ACTTCTAAAAAAAAAAAGATCCAAAAATGTTGACAAAACAAATAAACAAAAGTTTGCGGCGCAAATTCAAAGGAAAAACGCTAACAAGAATGAGAAGATAAAGTTGCATATCGCATTACAAAGGCTGTCATTATCCTGGGCTGGAAATCCAAGAGCCCCTCAGTTTTTTTGAGTCTTTTAAGTGCAATTGCAGGCATCTCTGGACATTGATTTACCCAAAGGACTCGCAGGACTCGCCCACAGGCGCCTGCAACCCGCAATCCGCAATCCGATACTTTCAAGTGGTCAACGGAGATATATATATATGTATGTATTATACTTATACGGCCACGGCCCATTGAAATTTGATTTCCATGTTTTGGATGTTTGGGTTACGCCCCGGCACTCTCCATAATTTACGATGGTCATCTGGAAATACTTAGGCTCGTTCCTAATTGCAATCGGGCCTGCCTGCAGCTGTCATCCCCGATCTCCAATCCACAATCCTCAATCTCCAATCCCCAGTCGCCATATCCTCAAGTCCTCAAGTCCTCAAAGTCCTCTCAAGTGGGTGTGGACTCGGGTCTCGAGCTGCGTTGGCATTCCGAACTTAGTTGGAGTGCTCCGGCAGAGATTTGGCCAAGGGTCCCATTAGGATTGGATGGATGTCGCTAATGACCGACAAAAGTTGCTGGTGCACATGCAAATGGCAGCGGTTTCAACAGGATCCTTCAGTTATCTCGGGCTTATTACAAACAAATGATGGTTTTTGTCAAACACTCCAATCGTAAGCGATAATATTTCCTTGTCAGCTTATCAATTACAAAAAATAAAGCCTATGTTTATTCTATTTGTTGATGTATGACTTTGGAAATAATAAAATATCACTATTTTTACGATAAAATAGCCGATAATTGTCAGATATTGGAATGCCATACCTTTTTGAACTCGTAACAAAATTTCCTATCAAGTTGCATTCACAGTTTTTTTTTGTAAAATTTTCAAAAATAATCATGATAAAAACCTCACGAAAAATGTCAAACGTGAAAAATTGGGCTTTTAACAATTTTTCGCTCAAAAATATCACTATTTTTACGATAAAAACGCCGATAATAGAATGCCATACCTTTTTGAACTCGTAACAAAATTTCCTATCAAGTTGCATTCATAGTTTTTTTTTGTAAAATTTTCAAAAATAATCATGATAAAAACCTCACAAAAAATTTCAAATGTGAAAAATTGGACTTTTAACAATTTTTCGCTCGAAAATATCACTATTTTTACCATAAAATTTCTAATAATTGTCCAATAGTGGAAAGCCATACCTTTTTGAACTCGTAACAAAATTTCCAAACAAGTTGCATTCACAACTTTTTTTGTAAAATTTTCAAGAAAAATCATGATGAAAACCCTTAAGAAAAATGCAAAAATCGGTCAAAAAATAAATTTTACCAAATTAACCTGGAATCGATAGTATATGTTTTTAGCTGCACAGAACAGTTATTCCTTTGGCTGTGCGTCTTATTTTGGCCAAATTAGAACCGAAACAGCTTAAACAAGAGAGAACGCTATAGTCGGGTGCCCCGACTATCAGATACCCGTTACTCAGCTAAAGGGAGTGCGAGGGAGATGGAGATAGAAACTTTGATCACGCATAACTTTTTAACGAATGGTCCGATTTGAAAAATTTCTTCTACATTTCGATAGGTATTGATAAACACAATAAAACTGCATTTTTACTTTTCCGAAATATTTAAATTTTTAAAATCGCATATAAGCGATTGTGGGCGTTAAAGGGGGCGTGGCACCATTTTGAAACAAACTTACGCTGCGTAGGAACTTCTAAAATCTACATGCAAAATGCCAATCTACTAGCTTTTATAGTTTCCGAGATCTCAGCGTTCATACGGACAGACAGACAGACAGACAGACGGACAGACAGACGGACAGACGGACAGACGGACAGACGGACATGGCTAGATCGCCTCGGCTAGTGATCCTGATCAAGAATATATATACTTTATAGGGTCGGAAACGCTTCCTTCTAGCTGTTACATACTTTTGCACGAATACAATATACCCTTTTACTCTACGAGTAACGGGTATAAAAACTATGATGTCGATCGAGAATATATATACTTTATAGGGTCGGAAATGTCCCCTTCATTGCAAGTTTATAAAAAGTATGACATTAATATATTTTCTAGGCCATTACTTTCCGGAAAATCCCTCCCCAAGTTTCCCGCTTGCTTCTGCGAAAGGTACTCTTCCGAGTGCTCTAAAGTCGCCCCATCATCCGCGCTGTCACTCCCCCAAGAAAAAGTGCCATCCCAACTTCCTCCAACTCTACCCGATCTTCAAAGGAAAGCCCCAGGCCCACCCCGAATAATGGAATTCCCAGTCGAGGATCTTGAAATCAGATTGTCAACATGGCCTCGCACGTGATATCAATGCATTAACGGAAGTGTTTCAATTGTGTATTCCCCGGGTGCCCGAAAATAGACACGGAAATGTAACAAACTTCTGGCTAAAGATCAATAATCGTCGCGCCCCCTCAGTAAAGGTATAGGTATAGGTATAGGTATGTGTGTATAAAGCCCCCTGAAGAAAACAGGGAACATTGAAAAATGTTGCCCCGCGCTGGGTCATAAAAAAAAAGGTGTCCAACTTCCCCATTTCGCTTTGTTTTTCCCACCCCTCGGAAAAACCGAATCCCGAATGCCGAATGCCGAATACCGAAAATGACAAACAGACGCGGCAAATAAATAACGAGAAATGTTGTGTAGGGGGCGTAATGCCATAGAGCCGGGGGTATTACGGATCCCCTGGTTTCTACCCACTTAAAACAAAACCCCCGGGCGAGCGACAAATTAACACGGCAGGCGGCTGTAGTCGAAAGTCCGGGAAGTACGGGAGCTTCGAGGGGATCTATTTTAAGACTCGGGGCAGACAACTCGGTCGCCTGATCCAGTAGTCATCCTATTCCATTCCATCCCCAGTCGCATCCATGTAGCACCTTTATTAATTGCAGGCGACGAGACGAGCGTTTGACATGTTTAATGCGAAAATCTGGAGAGAGGCAGGGAGAAAGCAGTGGGAGAGAGTGCACTGGGAGAAATTGAATGCCATTTATTTAATATATTTTTATTAATATTATATCAAACTTTAGCATGTTTCAGTTTCCCACTATAAATTTATAATTTTGAAAATCATTTACCTTAATGTATACTATTTATTATCAATTAGATGAATATGTGGATCATAAGTAGTTTTAAAAAATATTACAATAATTTCATGTATAGTTCTCTTTGATAAAATTAAGTAAATGCAAAATTACTACTATTATTATTTTTGAACTCCACATAAATATTTTGAATTAAATTGTATATATTCTCCATCAAAAGAGTATATTTGCAAATGGATTGTATAAGAAAAAGATTTTAAATCCTATTCGCTTTTAAACTTAAAATAATTTATAATAACATATAATACATTTGTCATGAGGTATACAATAAGTGTGAATATATAAAAACGGATGTAAAAAAAAAATAAAAATATATAGATGAAAAAATCAAAATACTTGCTAATCTTTTAAATATGTAATTTGGATTATAAAATTTTCTAGCCAATCAGTATTTCCTTTTCAGTGCACACCGCTTCAAAGTGGCGTTTAAAAGATTGAGGAACATTCGTGGGTCTATTTTGGTAAACAGAATGCCAGAACGTCTCTCCCCATCGCAGGCGACGTTGACATAGGCTGGAAATTCTTCCGACTCCATCTATTTCGGTTGCCGACCAGACAGCCCAGCATTAAACAGCCTATATGGCACATATAGCACATAGCACATAGCCCATGGCACATAGCACATCGCAATCTGCAGACAGCGGATTGCAGACTGCAGACTGGAGATTGGAGATCGGAGATCGGTGATCGGTGGCAAAGACAGCTGACGCCACACCCGGGGGCAAAGTCGAAAAAGTAGTGCCATGTGGGACTCCCGATCTGGAGCTCCATTCCGTTCCCCGATCGAAGGGACTCAGTTCGCATGTCTGACTCAATCCCCCGCCCTTCGTTTCCTTTGTCTGTGTTTTTATTTGAAAGGGGAAAAAACGGCAACGGCCGTTCCACAAAATTGGATCTGAATGAATGATTTTTATCCCCTTGCAGAGGGTATTATAATTTCAGTCAAAAGTTTGCAACGCAGTGAAGAAGACATTTCCGACCCTATAAAGTATATATATTCTTGATCAGCATCACCAGGAGAGTCGATCGATAAAGCTATCTGCTTGAAACTTTCCCAAAAGTTGTCTATCTATTGCAGGTAGTATATAAGTCGGAACGAGCCGGATCGGGCGACTATATCATATAGCTCGCATAGGAACAATCGGAAAAAAATTCAAAAAATGTATAACCTTGTTGTTTTTAATTTTTTTTGTTCTTTGGGATTTGATAATATTTAAATATTATTATTATTAAAAATTACGATTTTAATTAAATTATATCGGACAACAATATAATATAGCTGCCAAAGAAACGATGACAAAATGCAGCGCAAAGTCGACACAGCTTCATTGATTTTAGTGATATAGGCATAGAAATCAAAATAGTCGTTTTGTAATAACTGCAAGGGTAATGTTTGGCACAAACCTCTGACCTAAACTATAATATATAATATAGTGTAAAAAGCGAACGCTTACCGCACTCGTTTCGTACGTATGTATTTATTTATAGCTGGCTGATAATCTAGAACCGCATAATGATCTTCAGATGCTACTGAAAGTGCTTATCTATGCGTAAGTATGTTTGTAGACACCGTCTTCCGGTATTTGAATTGATTTCGGGAATCACAATCAACACCAGAGCAGAAGTGCAATCGTTGCCTTGACTTTGCCCCTTGGGTAGCAACCACCTCCAATGTGCGGATCCAAGAATAATAGTGTCTTCAGACTGCAAAGTACCCTTGTGCAGATCATTTCCCCAAACTCCCTTACATACCAATCATAATGAGTTAATACAAACATTTTAAATACGCAATTTAATAACAATCTAATCTCCTATTTCATCAAATAAAAACAAATTAATACCAGACAGCATTAGGAGTACAGTTTAGATTTAGTATTTTTTATTATTATTCAAATATTTCATACTTAAACAGTGCGACTCATAAGGACTTGGGCCTTATCATCATTTCGACAAAGGTAAGTGATTCATCATAATCTTCATGCCATGAGTACCAAATAATTCCATTACCTTTGCCATCTTCGAAGTATTTTCCATTGAGCGCACTGTAATTTTAAGTGATTATAGTAAGAAGATTTAATAAGAGCATAAATAAACAGGTTTACCTATTTAAAAAGTAATTGTGCCACCATGCACCATATGTAGAGGCACAATTGAAACCAATGATATTGTCATTATCCCGATCAAATGTGGAGAACTTTTGGTTCTTATTGTATGTGAGTGAGTCTCCGGCTTCACCAGAAAAATTACCTAGATTCTTCAACTCGTACAATTCCTCCTCACTTCCAATCTTAAAGTCATCGTATTGAGCGTAGCTGGTGGATCCATCAACATCCCCAAGTTTAATGTAGAGTTCGTGGGGTCGTGCCTCAGTCATCCGATGCAATTTTTCCAGCCCGATGAAGAATTCTCCACTGACATTCCCAAATCCATATTTATAATCATTCCAGGTTCTATTGAAGTTCTCGGATCCGTCAATGCGTCTCTGAATTACAGTCCAACCAGGCGGAGACGTCGCACATGACACTTTAAAGGGTTCAAGATCCCGAACCTTAATTTGGTAAATGAAATTGGTACTGCCATTGGGACAAGAGTCAGGTAAAATGTCATAATATTTATGCAATTCAGAAAGCTGACTAGATAGTTCTGATTTTGTTTTCTCAATAGCTTTTATTTGAGTCGTAAGGGTCGAGATTTGTTCATCTCTATTTTTAAGGTCCTCCTCTTTCACTTTTAAAATATCTTCTTTGCTTTTGATTTGACCTTTGGATATTTTTAACTTACTCTGTAAGTCTTTTATTGTATCTTTCAAAGTAGTTACTTGGATTTTAAGTTCATCGTTGGCATCGGCTGTTATTTTCATCTGTACAAATTAATTTAGAACAGGCGATTAAATAGTAATCATTGCATTCTTTTTCAATATTTAAATTAATTGGTTACTGCAATAAATATTATTTGAGCTTACACAAGAAAGTATTGATAACTTTGTCACCGTCGATTCAAAAGAAACTAAACAAAATTTGTAATGATATTTCGTTGCAGTATTATACTAATTTTCTAAAAAACTGTTATAATGGTGTTTTTTATACATTAAATTTACCTATAAACAGAGATAAGCAATTTCGATGGGATTTCTAAGATTTCTATTTGTCTGTCAGTCTGAATGTATGTCTGTAAGTCTGCTATCAGTAACTCACCATCCTAAGTTCCTCCGTTCTGTCCAATCTCGCATCCAGCTTGGTCTGCAGAGCCTGAATTGAATTCGCGAAGTCTTCTTTGAGTTCCTGCTTGAGTCTCGAATCCAATCCGGCCTTCAGCTCTGCCTTGATTTCATCCAACGTCGTTCGCATACTATCAGTATCGTCGAATATCGGGTTGAGAGCGGCCAGGCAAAAGGAGCCGCATTGTTGTGGTGCATCTTGGAGAACACACATCGACTGATCCTTTGAATTGGACGCAATTCCTCCTTGTACACTTGGAAAAATTAATAAGCCAAGCAAATAGGATAACAGTCTCAGCATCATAAGATGTTCCATCTAATCAAATCGAATTTAAAAAGTGTACTGAAACGTAGCTATAAGTTGAAGAAACAACGAAGCTTAAAATATTAGAAAATATAATATATTCTTATCTATAGTACGCGGCCGCCTAAGTCTCTCATCCGTCGGCCAACAATTGGAAAAACCCAAATCTACAAATATGTGTATGGACTAGCATATAAATAGAAATGAGGTAATGTTCTTATCGCTTATTTGCGCTTTATTTGTTTTTTCAAATTATTTGGAAACCAAAAAAAGCGGGATAATCGCATAGTTTGTATTTTGAAGGTTTTATACCCTTGCAGAGGGTATTATAATTTTATTAAGTTTGCAACGTAATGAAGGAGACATTTCCGACCCTATAAAGTATATATATGTATGTCCGTCTGTCCGTCCGTCCTTCCCTTCGTTTCTTTCCCAAAAGATGTATTTCTATTACAGGTAGTATATAAGTCGGGCGACTATATAATTTAGCTCCCAAAGGAACAATCGGAAAAATTTTTAAAAATATACTTTGTGGTTTTTATTTTAATTTTTTGGGATTTGATCATATTTAAATATTATGGAATTACAGTTTTAATTAAATTAAAATCGGACATCCATTTCATATAGCTCCCATAGGAAAATCGAAAAATTAAAAATAAAAAAATGTAAAAACTTTTTTAATTTGCTGTTTTTCTGTTAATAAAATATTTTTTTAAGATATAGTAATTATTTACCATATCAGAATTACGCTTTTAGTTTGTCAAGATCGGATAACAATTTTATATAGCTGCAATTAAAACGATGGCAAAATGCAGCGCATAATCGACATAGCTTCATTGTTTTTAGTAATATAGGCATTGAAATCGAAATTTAGTCATTTTGTAATAACTGCAAGGGTACATAAACTTCGGCTTGCCGAAGTTTGCTTCCTTCCTTGTTTACATTTTCATTCAAGTTTTAAGCAGAAGCGGAAACCCCTTTCAAATCGACATTTTGAACAGAATTATTAAACTAAATAACGAATATTGGGTAAAATATTACAAACTCTCAAATGATTTTCCTTGTTCTCATACAAAATAGTTAATGGAGGGCTTATTTTTGTTAGCTGTTGGTACCTAATGATAAAGGTAGTGATTTTAAAATATTGGTGAAATGTAAAAAAAATGCATAATACATATGTTTAAATTTTAAATCTTATGACACTGCACTTCGCTTCTTAAGTGCCTTTTTCCTGAATATAGCCAACCAAGATATCCCAGAGTTTGGCATCAATTATGCAACTCTGTATTCCCCACCTCTTTTGGTAGTTTTCCAAGCCACTAAGTACACCTTTTTCCCCCCGCCTCCACTTCTTCATTCATTTGCAATTTCCATTAAAATGTCATTGAAATTTCACTTACAAAAATTTCCCTTCAAAAACCAAACCGAACTGGAGCAAATAAAAATTGAGTAGATGGAAAAACGGAACTGAGTTTTGTATTGTGGGGGAGAAGTCGGTGGAGGAGTGAAATTGGTGGTTGGGTTTTGGGAAAACTTTAGCTGGCACTTCTATTGCCAAACGCATTTTGCACTTCAATTGCACGTGAAAATGAAAATGGAAGGGGTGGCGTTGGAAAAGTCTGCTGTGAAAAACTGAAAAATTCGAGCCTGTTAATATGCGTAAGAGTGTGAGGCAGGTGGGTGGTTGAGTGGGTGGTGGAGTGGGTGGCAGAGTGGGTGGTTAAGTGAGTGGGTGGCATCTCTGGCGAAGAATCCTGGCGTGTAGTTGTCTCTTTATTTTTCTTCTCGAGCTTCTGGCGCTGTCATTGATATGGCATTCTTTAGCCCCGCAGACCGACTGAGTTTTTCCCAACCCCACCCCCCTCCGACCATACCCTCCTGAATTTTCCTAACGCCTTCCCCCTTGAATTTTCCAAGAGCTGGGACTCTTCGGCCTCACCTTCTTTCGTTGTCGTTTTGTCGCCTGTTGTTAATTGTCATTGCGTCGCTTTAAGCCGCTCAGTGGCAGGAAAATGGGAAATGGAAGGTGAGGATGTGGGTGGGCGGTGAAATCAGGGGGTGGTGGCGGATAAAGTGAATCAAGAGGAAGGCCAAAGAGCAGGCAAAGTCTATCAGACATACTCTTGCCAAGAGTAATCGAATTTGTCTAAGGTAATATACAATTTTAGGAAATGTTTCATGCAATACATAAAATTATATATAAGTTATTAGTTTTAATCTTCGTTTATAAATTATTAATTTACTTAAGAAAAGTTTGCCTAAACTCTATTAATTTGTTTAAGTAAAGTCAATTCACTTAGTAACATTTATATTTGATAACATTTTTTGAATATTCTTAAATATGATCCCTAAATGAAAAAAATCATAACACAATAACCCGAAGAAAATGAAGCAAAGTTTAAATAAATTGATAATAATCACTTTAAAAGTGTTCTAAACCTAGTTTTTGTTTATAAAATATTTATGTATGCCTAATTTATGGTTGATTTTTAAAGTTTTAAAGACGATTTAAGGAGAATATTCTTCCCTTCGGTGTGGATAGTTTTTCCTTCGCCCGTTGTTGTTGTTGCCGCTGTTGCTGTTTTCACGCGCGGTTAGCGCCTGTAATTGCATTGCCAAGTAAACGACGAACCGCGAACAGTGAGCGACATTCGTATATGTCTCTCCATGGGTGTGCCGCTGCATGTGAGCGCTGCACGGAAAAAAATGAATATCGTTTTCAAGTGTTTTCTAACTAATTTTTGTTTGCCCAAATCTAAATTTGTAGTAAAAAAATAGGATGACTTTTATAAACAAAAATCAATAAAAATAAGTAAAATTTTTAGAGGAATTTACTTTTAAGTAATATTCTTTTTACATTCCCTAAAATATCATATTAATATTTGATTTTGGCAAAAGGTTTTTTTTTGCAACTTCATTATTTATGAGCCTGTGTTTTTGACATGTTTGGTACATTTTCTTGTTTTTTTCTAGGAAACCAATCCAGAAACCAATCGCTATTTTTTTCAGTGCATCGCTAGTGCGTATGTGTGAGCGTTGGCGTAAGTGAAATTTATTTCAACAGCCCCCGCCAGGCATTCAGCCCCAAAACTGTCGGTTGGCCAACTTAGGCGAAAAATTGAGAAGCAAGGCAGCAGAGCAGCATCAACGGCAATAGAATGAAATGAGGCTGGCAAGAGGGGGTTAACAGGGGAAGGGGGAAGGGGGAGGGGGTTAAAAGGGGGGCTAGGAATGCCCCAATAGGGGGCGCCATCTGCGGCACACTGGCGCCAAAGTGATGGAAACCATTCCGAATGCACAATCTCACAGCGGTTGATCTCAAAAAAGAAGAAATGCATTTTGAGAGGAAAGGCGTTAAGAGGGGGTGCATGAAAGTACCAAAGCGGTTTATGGGTTAAACTTTGTATTGTGTAAGTAAGTATAAGTGCTTACTTGCCACATAGTGCAAGTTTAAGATTTGGTTTTAAAGAAATAATCATGCACTGCATATCTGTCAAGTTTTAATATTATTTATTTATTTATTTATTTATCGTGAATATAACTTATAATTTGTTAGCCATTTAAAATTTCAAATCAAAAATAAATTAAAAGGAGTAAATTAAACAAACTACTACTACAAAACAAAAAAATATGGCCGTATAATGGTTAAGCCCAAATTATTTTACTTACTTCCAGATTACTTACAGATTTCTGGGGTATATTGGAAATTCCAAAGGTTCATTAAAGGGTCAAAATTTCGAACTCTTGAATCAAATGATAGATTTTATTTGTTTCTGGAGATAGCCCCATTAACCCACTGTGCCCCGTTCCAAAAAAAAAACCCCAACTGAGGCTGCATCTCTGCGTGTTTCTGTTGCTGATTTTAAATTTTAATTAAAGTGTGGCTCCTCGGACTTCTTGGGCTCTTTGGTTTTCGGTTTTGGGTTTTCGGTTTTGGGTCTTGGGGTTTTGGCTGTGACCACTTGAGGTCCACGATCCGCGGCAAAGCAAACAATGGCCTACAAGTACGGGCACTTCTTGACACGCTCTTGCCACTCGAACTGGTAGCTATTGGCACTGGCCCCGGGGCCAAAAAGTGCGAAAGAAAGAAAGGCTTTCTAAAAGCACGGCATTCCGGGCCGCTTTTCATATTGCCATCTTGGCATCACCCATGACCGATGAACGATGAACGATGTGCGAAGAAAGCGTCAACTCATGGTGGGCTATAAAAGTGGCAAAAGTCTGGACATTGGCACACACAGTTCGATAGTCCCTCGTCCAGAAATGATCAACGCGATTCTTGTGCTCTGTCTGCTGGGCAGTTGGCCACTGGCGGCGATGGCCCAAGGCCAGAAGGTGGACAAGGATCCACAGCCGGTGGCCAAGGATCCGGCGACCCGTTTGGCCGGCATCTACGTGAAGGATGGCAATGCGAACGGCCAGCTGAGGTTCCTGGCATCCGGACTAAATAGTGGCAGCAGTAGCAGTAGCAGCAGCTCCAACTCTGGCCTCAACTCGGCCCTGAATCAGTACATAAACAACAAGCAGGACATGCTGGAGCAACTGCGTCCGTCGGCGGGAACGGGAACGGGAACTGGGACGTCAACGAGCACGGGAACGGGAACGGGAACGAGCTCGGTCACGGGAACTTCGGGTACGGGTACTGGAAGCGGTTTGGTGACGACCACTGCGAACGGAGCCATCTATGTGCACCTGGGCAACTCGGGATCCTCGTCGTCGGGATCCACCTCATCGGGATCCTCCTCGTCGTCCAGCACCAATGCGGCCATCAACCAGGTGATCTATGGATCGTCGCCGATCGCCAGTCTTTTGCCGCAGATCGTTGGTCAGGCGGTTTCCACTCGAGTGCGTCCTGGTCAGAACAATAACAACATTAGGAGGCGTGTCCCCGCCCGCAGGCGTCGGGTCAACAAGAGGCGTGGCAGCATTAACAACAACAATCAGCGTCGTCGGCGGCGTGGCAACAAGCGGGGCAAGAACAAGGCCCAAGTGATGGTTGTTCGCCCGAATCGCGGTTGAAACACACACACACACACACACACACACACACACACACACACACACACAAGAAACACATTCCCTTAGTTAAGCAAAATTATAACTTTTTTTTTCGAAGGCCCAGCTATTTTTTTTTTTATAATGATTACTATTAGTATGCGAGAAGGCAACTTAATTTATTTATTTAAATAATTGAAAGCAATTACACTGTGCAACCCAAGTCTTTTTATTTTGGGTTTGGGGGGCTCTCATATGTAAGAACCATATAATGGAATGAAATCAACGTTTTGGTAGCCAAGAAAATAATATTATATTATATGATATAACAAAAAATTATTTATTGCATATTACAATTAATGATTATTGTGTGTTAATAAAATTGAAGATTTCAGTCATAACAAAAGTATTTATATTATTTTGTAAATTTGGTTAGGAATAAAAGTCGATCATTTATAAATATATTTGATGTTACAGATTTTAGCTGATGGTTTTTAATGACCAATTAAAATAAGTTAAACTTTAAACTGCTTAAAAAATCTTGCAAATTTGCCAACAATTGCTTCACTACTTTTCAGATTTGTCAAATATTATTAACTGTTATTTTGTAAACGAAAGCAATTTAAATTATATTAAAAAGAAAGAGTCAATGTTTTCAATTACCAGCGCTCCCAATGCTCTTAACGCAAAATCTAATGTTATTTAAAAATAAACAAATAAATAATATATATATGTATATAGAACACTTAAGAAGTATCTATTATAATCCTTATATGGTGTTTGGTCAAGGATTCTATTAAGGAATATTTTGGAGGAACCCTTGAAACACCCAATCCCTTACCTTTGGCCTAGAATCGTGAACTGCAGTTCCTCAAGTGCGCTGGCGAAACCTCAAATTTGTGCAGGCCAGTGTTGGGGGCTTGTGGCACTAATTTATGGGCCAACTGGTGTTCATGTTCAGGGCTCCAGGAGCAGAACCCCTCCCCCACAACCCATCTCTCTGCCGGTGCGCCCCTGGTCAAGTGCAAGACAAACGGTCTTCGGTCTCCGGTCGCCAGTCTCCGTTCGCCGGCAGTCGCTGCATGCGGCGGTCAATGTCTTGATAAATGTCTGCCGACTGGCGCCCGGGGAGCTACCTGGGGGTCCCCGGGCCCAGGAACCCCCTTCGCCGCCCATGTCCTGGCCGGCGTGCCCGTTTCGCGCCCCCTAAATCACCGTCACGTGTCCTGGCTGTGCATTATGTGCTCATGACTGTAATGAGCCTGTAAGTGGACCTAATCAGTGTCATAATAATAGAAATTAATCACTGCAAGGCCACGGCATGGGCGGCGACTCAAGGGGGGGAAGGGGGGTTTGGGTATTCCCCTTACCACCCGCACCACCTTTCGCGGGCAAAAGTCAAAGTTGAGCCCTGAAACGAGCAAAGCAACTCTTGTGCGGTTTGTGCAGCGCTTTGGCGCATACTTTGTAAATGTTTTGCAATGATTTGATTTGAAATTCATTTGAATTATTGCTTGCTTCCGGTTTCCGGTGCCTTCGAAATACTTTCCTGTTTCCTTTCCACCACCCTCGACCCCCTTCCCCCCGCCTGCACGACCCACCCATGGCGAGGACATGGAAGGACCCTATGATGTACGACCAACTCGGTTGGCCTTTTCCTTGCGCCTCTCCCTGTGGAGTTTATTAAGTACTGCCAAGAATACACTCGGGATAAATTAAATTGTGATCTGATTATAATTCAACTGCCACACAAGTCCTATTTTGGTTATTATGAAATGTTAAGATTGCACCTTTCACATATTTATAGATCAGCATTTGCTTACAACAACCAGTTCAAAAACAAATCAGATATTATACATTTTATTTGGCTTCTTTTGTAAATAATCATAAATTTATACAAATAGTAATTAAAAGTTTATGTAAATAAAATAATTATTTATTTTTATGTAACGTCTAAAAATTTTTAAAAAAAGTACAATATAAAACAATAGGTAATGATTTAAAATTATTGCAAACCTTACTCCATAATACTAACTTTGGCAGCTAAAGAATATAATGTTATTTGATAGATTTATATTTAAGGCCTCTAGCCAGTTTCTCGCAGTGCATTTGCATAGACCAAATGGCAACTGGTGTGTGAGTATGCGGAACTTTGTTAATATGCAAGTGAATGGACATTTCCGGTACGGACAAAACGTGCCATGTGCCAGGCCAAAAACCGAAAGCCAAGGTCCTGGCCAAGCCCGCGAAACATTATGGGGGGATCCGGGGCTTCCGGGGGGGGCAGGGTTTGCCGGGGAATTGCGGGGCCTTCCCGGGGTTGGGGGGTGGTGGGTGGCACAGGTTCACAGCCCAAGGACATGTGCTAAAAGTCCACATCACCATGAGCTGCCCTTGGATCCATTCGCTGGCTCTCTTTGCTCGGATACATTTCGCTGCCCTATGGAAAGGTACTTTTCAATGGGTCTCAAAGCTAACTGAAGCCATTCGACTTATAAATTATATTTTTGGCTTCAAATCGAACACTTAAAGCAGATATTTTCAAGTGAATAAATATTTCAGACTTAGCTTCAATATAAAATACAAAAGCTAGTTGCTTAGAAGAAAGCTTACTAGCAAATATCATTCATCTTAAATTACATTTTACAATATTTTTGTAAGAAATAGTTTTAGTTTCTTTTAATAATAATTAAGTTTTAATTAGCATTCCCTAAATTAAGTAGCTTAAGGTGTTAAATGTTATTAAACACACATTCCTTTATTTTACTTATAAAATGCATTTATTTAAAGTTTTTAATATCTAATAATTTTAGTTCTCTTCTATTTTCAATAGTCTAATTTTATCTGAACAAAATAAAAACTTTACGGGCATTAAAGAATTTTGGTAAATTTGATTATATTTCCTTGACTTAATTTCATCCTGTCAAGTCAAAAACTAAAAGGGCATTGAAAGATCGGCCTTTCGATATTAAAAGCTTACTTTTTCCTTTTTGCCAGTTCCTTGGCTTCGCTCATGTGTAATTTTCAATTAAAATGATTTGAGTAGACAACTTTGAACGCTTCTGGCTGTGACTCTGCCACTGACTTGGCTTCTGATTTGGATTCGGATACGAATTTTCGGACCTGGGGCGAAGGGCCGCAGAATTCGAGGGGAATGCCACAAATACTTTTCGGGCAGGAATCATAAATCATGCAGCAGGCAAAGACACGAACCGCATTGGAAATCGACAAAGGAGACCCAAAACTCCGGCGTTGACACACGGACATCGGGTGGATATATAGCATATCCGAAAATATATAGAAATGTATATGTTTGTGTGAGTGCATACACCAATGGCCGGCCGACTAAGTGGGCCACAAGTTTCGCTTCACTTTTGAAATAGTTGCAAAGTGGAAAAGTTTGGCATGCAGAGTGTCCACGTCTGTGGTCAGGAAAGGGCATAATTGTGGGGCATCCTCCGGCGGATCGGGGAACCGGGGATACGGGGATCCGGGTATCTGGGGTTCCGGGAATCCGGGAGACGAGTAATGGGTGCGTGAGTCACGTGCCAGGAAGTCCCGGGATTGGCCGAGATAATCATGACACTTTGTGCGGCAAACTGACTGGAGAAGTTGTAAGAAAATAACTGAATTGCTCAAACAAATTATGATATGCTTATCCACCGAATATTGTCATTCAAAAATGAGCTGTAAATTAAATAGTTTTATTTCGTTTTTGCTGATTTAAATAATCAATTGCTTTTCCTTTTTTTTAAATGCAACTTATATGCTTATCCAACGAATATTGTCCTTCAAAAATGAGCTGTAAATTAAATAGTTTTATTTTGTTTTTGCTGATTTAAATAATATATATTGATTGTAAACTGTAGTTTTCTCAATTGCTTTTCCTTTTTTTTAAATGGAACTTATATGCATATCCACCGAATATAGGTCTTCAAAAATGAGTTGTAAATTAAATAGTTTTATTTCGTTTTTGCTGATTTAAAAAATATGTATTGCTTGTATAGTTTACAATATTGTTTTTAATATTAGCTCCCTTATAAAGCATATCTAATAATTTTATATTTTATTTTTATTTTCTTAATTCTTTACGTTCACATATAATATATATATATTTTTAAAAAATATATAAGTTTACATTTTTTATTGTGATTTGTTTAAATAATTGGCCATTACGTGAAGTGATTATAATATATTACTAATATCCTATTTTTAAATTTCCGCTTTCCTTTTTTATATTACCAACTATTGTAAATTAGTGTCGTGATTCACGCTACCATTTCTGGTAGCTGTTCGTTTTGGCCTTTTATTTTGGGCCAAGTGGCAATGCAGCAAGATGTAAGAACCGATGAAATTCTGCGGCTCCTCTTCTTTTTTGCCCATTCTTCAGTGCTGTCTGTCGATATTTCTCGAATTCTTCGTGGCTTTTTTGTTGTATTTCTCAAACCAATGGTCAATTGACATGGCAACAACAAACGTGGCTTAGTTTTTTATCCCCCCCCCCCACCCCCCTCTACATCCACCAACTAAGTTTGATTTTTGTTGTTGTGTAAATTTCTTGTATTCCGTTGGCTTTTAATTGCCGTGACGTGTTTGTTCTACTGCTTTTTTTTCTCTGTGCTTTTCGGCTTGTTGTTTTTTGTGCTTGGTTTTCGGCCACTTGACGTTTGATTTACTTAGTACTTTTTCGGTCGCTCTACAAGACCAATTGTAAGCCAATTTTCGGTGGGTTTTGTTTATTTTTTTTTTCTATTTTTTTTTGGGAGGTTGGTAAGGCCTTCGCAAGAGGCGACCTTGTCGTTTTTTGCCTTTTTCGCACACTTGTCAAGTGCTCTGCGGTTGTTCATTGCTCTTTTTTTTTGGTAGTTTTTGTAAAGTCTATTTCGCTCTGGTTTCGCTTAAAACATTACCGCTGATTGATTGATAAATGATTTGGCGAATTAATTGCTAGAAAAAAGTGTACATACTTATCAAAGCCATGCACACATATCTTTCAAGCATTTGATAAATGTCGCTCTACAAAATTTTTAGTTGGAGATACAAAAAAATGTCCAGGCAGCGATTTAAGTCCAACAAAAATAAGCAAAAAGCATTAAGGAATTTAGATTTATGGTACTTCAAATCGAGAGAAGTAAATTTACACGTAACAGCTCAAAATGACACCAATTTATTAGTTTAAAATATATGAAAAAAAACGTGTATGACAAAGTTTTCTAAA